TTATATAGTTTTCAAAAACAGTGTGATGAAGAGTTTTTCATAGATGTAGCTTCAAGCACGGCTTTCAGGTGATATGCTATGATATGCTGGATACCAAGCAGGATAAAAGAAAGGGTAATAACCACGTCTTTGTACAATACAGTGGGGAAACACACACAAAAACCCACAGTTAAAACACTGTGGGCCGAGTGCTGTTCCATAACAGCATGGACGTAAAGGAGAAAGCTTTGAAAAACAGGACGACAGAGAAGGGACTTGTGCAGAGGACAACACAGCAGCCTGCAGAGAAGGTGTTGCCTTGTCTGGATTGGGAAGAATAAAGCATGATTGGCAGGAATACTTTGGTAAAACTCTGTGACTGAATTTAGGAATAAAAACATAAAGATAGGATGTTGGAGGAGGGCAGCTTGTTTGTCCTGGCCGCCCAGAACCAAAATAATCACACAGAAACTGTATTATTTAAATCACACCTTGGATCTAGCTTCTTATTGGCTAACTCTTATATATTAATTTAAACCATCTCCCTTAATCTGTGCTTCACCATAAGTTCGGGGCCTACCAGCAAAGTTTCAGCACATCTGTCTCCGGTGGTGGCTCCATGGCTTCTCTATGACTCCGCCCTTCTTTCTCCCAGCATTCAGTTTAGTTTTCTCTGCCTAGCTAAGTTCTGCCCTCCAAGGCAGTTTCTTTATCCATTAATGGTGATGCCAGCACACAGAGGGGACTCCCACATCAATAGGATGTGCAAAAGAGGTGCCTTTGTGCCTTCCTGTGGCATTCTGGGAACCAGAATCCCTCCTCAGTTCCCTACCTTACCACGTCTGCCATGTTCCACGTGTGTCTCTTTCTCAGGCACCACGTTCTTTTATTTTGCTCATTTTCCCCATTCCTCCTCTGTAGAGTGATTCTGTCTTCTTCCTTCCACGTCTCCCCTGACACCTGTGGAATAGCTACCCCAAACACCACTTCTATAAAAACTGAATTACCCCATCACGTGTGGCTGAGGCTTTCAACAGCAACTCAGCTCTTGCAAAACGTTCCATCCTTGCCACCTTCCTGTGATGCTAAGTCCTTTGAGAGTAGACTTTTACAGTCCCGTGAAGCACTATACTCGCCTGCCCTCACTGCGCTGCCTCTGTGTAACAAACGTAGCAAGTGATGCGAGCCCCGTGGCTTGGGTCACTGCAGGAGTATTTCAAGATAGCAGCTGCAAAATGTGGTTTGTCCAGAAAAAAAAAAAATAAATCCGTATTCTTGAACTCTGGAGAAATATTCTGTCCCAAGAAAGATCAAGGAATCAAGAGGTAGGATTTTTCAGAATTTATCTTTCTAGTCTACATTTGGTACTCTGGATTTAGAGATGGATCCCTGTGGTCAGGGCACAGGGAGTGTATGTTGAGGAGTATGTGTGCCCGATTCACAAGCCCTTATTGTTACATGAGGGGAGCACTCATGCTTTGGTGCCCTTTGCCCTTTATTCTGATTCTGAAATTGGTCTTGGGGAAATGTCTTGAGGTCAGGGAGATCATACAATTAAAACTTGATGGAGAGACTTGGCGTTGCCTCCCAGTACATGGACTGTCTACATGACATGCAGGAAGCCCTGGGGTTGACCCCAGCACCTTATAAAGGGCACAGGGTTCTATGCGTGTTGCCCCAGCACTCGGAGGTCGAGTCTGGAGGGATTGGAAATCCAGGATCATCCTTGGTTGCATTGTGAGCTTGAGGTACGCCAGCACTCTGAGGTCGAGTCTGGAGGGATTAAAAATTCAGGACCATCCTTGGCTGCATTGTGAACCTGAGGATAGCATAGACTACATGCTGCCGGGAAGAATAATCCAAACAGGATTTTAGTCAGATTCACATTAATTCGCTGGCTTTCTGTTTTATACATTAGCTTCATTGACTTACCACAAATACATATTTAAATGAGTGCACACCCCATGAAGAATAACCAGATGAATGGGCTTATTATGAGATTTACACAGTTTGGTTACATTGTTTAAAGTCCAGGATAAGATAAAATTTTATCAGTTTGTTTTCCTGTTTTTTAATCTTTGAGGCTCTCTCTGCTCTTGTATGAGACATGGTCCTTTAAGATAACAATAAAAGCCATCCATTTAAAGATATACATACCTATGATATTTATGAATATATCTAGCATTATGTAATCTACTACAGTGAATATGATGTATTGTATATAATGTAGATTGTTACATATTTAATATAATTTTACACAGATACAACTTTATAATATATATGCATATAACATACACTCTGTAATATTCCATATACTTCTGTAAGAGAAGGTTGATGTGTGTGTGTGTGTGTGTGTGTGTGTGTGTGTGTGTGTGTATTACATCTTATTCTGTAGGGCCCAATGGGACAGGTTCATCTTACAGAATAAGATGGTAGATAAAAACACTGTTTAAAATAACATAAGATTCAAAGGCAGATCACTCATTATTTTTCCTGGATTCGATCTAAGTATAATGAAAACAGGGAAAACTTTTCTGAGGCTGGAAGATTGGTCAGTGAGTGAAAGTCTGCTGTGGGTATCAGCATGAGGACCAGTGTTCAGATCCTTTCCACATGAGTGTAACTCCAGTCCTGGGAGGACCCTGGGGTCTGCTAGACAGACAGCATTCTGAAATGGATGAACTCCAAGTCAGTGAGAGACCTTGTCTCAAAAGTAAGATAGAGAAATGATTAATAAACACACCTCAGTGTCCAACTCTGGCCCCAGCAGCTACCTGCAAGAGTGGTGAGCACACCCATGTGCATATAGAGGCATATAACACACACACACACACACACACACACACACACACACTTCTGTAATGATGCCATTGTGGCTGCTATATAAAATCTTTTATGCTTTTCTGATTAGGAAATATATTATTATCTTAATGGTATGTGCTATGAAAAATTAAATATGAGGCATTACAGCTAAGTTTCACCACACATGAATTATTTTAACTGACTATTTCTTAACTGAATATCTGATAAATCAGTCTTGCCATGTCTCATGTCCCATGACATGCTTAAGCAAGACACTTGAGAATCGTTATTCTCTGAGAACAGTGTTACAAAGCCACAATCATTGCAAATAAAAGCAAAGCCTTCCCTGCCACCAATTCTCGGTATTCAGATCTCAGCTTGAGTAGCTTGAGAAGCAATATTTGTCTCCAGAGTAAGTAATAAAAGCTGCCCTTAACTGGCATTCTGCGTAAGCAGCTGGCACTTCCTGGAATTCTTTAATAATAAGTGGTTTCTCCTGTCACTGCCATGGAGGAGGAGGATGACAGGATGACTCTGTTGAGGTTGTCGATATGATGAGGGTTGGCACTCATCAGTACTAAGTCACTGTCAAATGACCTGAGTATGCCCTGAACCCACCTTGTTGGATCCCAGCCTGGAATGGACCCATACAACCTTTGGTTTAGCTGGTAGGAGCTTAAAGGTCTGAACTACCCTCCAGGTCCTTGAACGGTTGCTCCTGTACTAATGACCCTAGAGGATTCAGATTAGTGTAAGTGGACACGTTTTATGTAGAAATAAAACTTGGTACAGTAATAATGATAGTAATAATAATACCTGTGTGCCTGGAGATTTGGCTCAGTGAATCTCTTGCAGAGGACCCAAGTTTGGCTCCCAGCACACACACTGGGTGCTCCATAAGATTCTGCAACTTCAGCTCCGTGCAACGTGGTGCCCTCTATTGACATTGCCACAGTAATGTGTGAATGCACACACACACACACACACACACACACACACACACACACACGCACACACACACCATGGAGAAAGAGAGAGAAACATACACATAATAAACTAAATAAAAGTAAACTAAATATTAAAAAGGAAGCCCCATTAAAATATTGTATTTGGAACTTCTATGTTTTCAAAGTATTTCTATATAAACTTTAGGTATTAAATGTGTTTGGAATTGTAACCAACTGTGAATATTTCATAACTAATTAAGCATCTTACAAGGGTCTACACTCATGTTGCACAAATTGAGACTGTGTTCTCTTCCACATAGGATGTAACATTGTTTTGCTGCTGTTACTGTTTTCCAAAGACTGATTAGCACACCTTTCCTTTGCGCAGGCTCGCTTCCTGGGTGTAGACAGTTATGAGCTTTAAGATCAGAGGCTCCGTGTGGGAAGTGGGCTGATGATAACTGGTTCTAACGGAAGTGAATAATGGCACAGGAAGGGGCTTTGCAGCTTATAACATCTGTAGGGAAAAGGGCCAAGGCTCTGGAGACCGCCATCCCCACAGTGGTACCAGATTCACCTGAAGTACTGGGAGGCCGCTCCGTTTTGGCAGTGAGGAGCTAGAGTGCCTAGGAGCTGCAAATCAGCAACTAAGCTAAACAGTCTATAATGATTCAAACAGATGTAAAGGGTTATGAGTATTTTATATATAAAACCCATTAAACACAGGCTTTATAACCTCAAAATACTTCCCCAAATAGTTACATAACAAGGCTTTATCGATTTACTTCTCGGAAACCAGCTTTCTCTGTGATGAAATTGAATTAGAAATTTATTGGAGAAAAGAGAAATCGGTCAAAAGAACACAGATTTATGTTTTTATCTATTTTCTAATATGCCGGTTGTAAAAGGAAGGGAAGAGAAAACACATTGTTAGTCAAAGTTGGAAAATAATTGCTTCTGATGAATGTTTGGGGGGGCAACAGCAATTTTAAAACAATTAAGTGTTCCTTGTTGGTCTTCTTTTTCTGTTGCTTTGTCGGTGGTCAGGATCGGCTCAGGGCCCCACAGACATGAAGTTTTAGAACATGCAGCTCTAATGGCTGTTCCCCTTGGAAAGGCATTTATAATAGAAATTAATACAAATCCCTAAGAATATTTATGTAGGACTTAATGTTCCAACCACTTATGCATTTGATTATATATATATAATATATCATATATACATATACACATCCACATGTATATGTGTGTGTGTGTATTCAGTGGCTCATCTACTATCAAAGAGAGTATAATGGTGAATTAAAACCATGGGCAAGTTCCAACATGTCCACAGCACTTTGGGTCTTTTTAAAAGCTTGGACTCTTACCTTTTCCCTAGGTTTTGAATTCTTTCCTGCAGCTCCCACTTGACAACCATCTCTCCCACGAACCAACAAAGGCAAATAGATTTATTGAGCTCCTCACCAATGTTCTCCGAGCTTACATGCAGCTCTATGGCTAAATGTTGGCAAATAACAAGGAATAAAACTATAAAATCTCCAACTTCTGTACTAGAGATTCTGCCTTCCAGTACAAAGGAATGCTTAGCATACTGTTGTATGATGCTGGAACTTGAATCTTGCTGCAAATATGCTTGCATGCCTTAACAAATGTTTAAATTTGTTTCCGGTCTAGACTCTGCCACCAAGCAACTGATATAGGTAGGACGTGTTTAGCATTTCACTTGTTAGTAGCATACATTGTTAATTTAAATCCCTTTCTGGATAACCAGTAGCATCTTTTGAGATCCCCGCCAGGCTCTCCACAGAAGAATCCTTCTCTTTATTGGTTGGGCTAACTGTCTAAACTTTAGATTTTAAGTGATTTTTTTTTCATTGTAAATGTAGTCACCTCTTGGGGAAATCTGAGGGACAACTTGTACATGCTATTATCGAGATCTCTCCGTATTTGATGGAAAGGGGTGTATCTCCAGCGGCCACCAAAACCAGTTAGCTTTAAAACCTTTCAACAACAGAGAATTCCTGGGTGCTTTTCTCTTAACCTCACTGTGACCCTCCTCCAGCCGCCCCACTCCCCACAGTCAAGCCTTTGTGGATGGCAAGAACACACAGATTGTCCAAATCAGGATTTCTGTTGCTGTTGCTCCTGTTCTTTTCAAATCCTTTTCTGGCAGGGATGCCCCATTTGCTCAGCAGTAGCACCTGGAAGTCACGACAAGGGAAAGAAACGCTTGTCTGACAAAGCCAAAGCGCCCCGGCCAGCTGACCAGATACAATCGGATCCTTGCTGCGGCAATATCCTTGTAAATACCGCTTCAGTTGCCGAAGCAAGAGCTAGAGCTTCGTGGATATCTGATCCACTCTCACAGAAATGAAGTCATCTTTTCCTACTTGGTGGCTGTGTGCGTGTGGGGGTCGTATCTTTGCTGCCAGTGGCTTGTATCAGACACCATCCTATTAATGGTGCCAGTCACACACTGGGAGGCTACGAAGTAAACGCTCCCCATATACTGATCTTCAGGGATGAGTTTGTACAGCACTCATAAGCCTGATATACATATTCCCAAGATGATTTATTGCTCAGCTGAGAGGGTGACATCTTGATTGAAGACCAGTTATGATACATCTGGAAAATGACAGCATTTTTAGTGACTCGAGACAGGTATTTATACTGCCAAGTGGGAGAGAAAGGAAAATATGAACGTGAACTGACAGTATCCGGTCCTAATCAAGACTGACCAGCAGTACCATAAGCTGTCACATTGAGCACTATTTGATGCTGTTGCTTTATTTATTTTTGTTTGTGTGTGAATGTGTGTGTGTGTGTGCAAATGTGTGTGTGTGTGTACATGCTAGGTTTTTGTTTGTTTACTTGCTTGCTTGTTTAGTTTTTTTTTTTTTGTGGGTTTTGGTTTTTGAAACAGGGTCTCAAGTAACACAGGCTGGACTCAAACTTGCTTTGTGACCCAGACAAGCCTCAAACTCCCGTTCCCCCCACCAGCACCTGCCAAGTGCAGGGATCACAAGCATAGACTGTCAAGCTCAACCTGTTTTCTTTCTTCTTACTAAAGTTTACTAGTTTTTACTGATAGGACAGAAGGATCCTTTAAATGTACAGCTCACAACCTCGGGAGATTTCATGAGTCTGAGGTGGACCGGGAAGAGCTAAGGCCACCACAGGAGTCTTCCCAGGGCAGGGCGACACATTCAAAGCCCACCGCTCGGTGTAATGCCCCAGGCCTTGACTGGCTTTCATGCCTCATACAGCCATGGGAATGGCTGAGGAGTAAGGGTTCTGCAAGTATTACTTGGAATACGTAGAGGCCCTCCGAGTGTTTCCAAGAATGTGCTGTTCTGCTTAAACTCTCCTCCTGATTTCCAGGTCCATCCGTATCTCAGAACCATATCATCCAAACTCACCATCAGGGCCAGCGTTGGCCTTGGGCTGCTGGATCAGGGAGTCGGGCACTGTAAAGAGATGAGGGGCTGTAACTAATCACTGCACACCAGGGTCAAACAACGCCATGGCACCACCTTCAAATTGTGGGGCCTGGGACTTTTGAACATCCGATCTCTCCTCCGACTTCAGAGCAGAGGAGTTGTTGAGCCCCAGCTGATTGATGCAGCATTGGGGCTGGGCAGCCGTTTCAGCCACTCGCTGGGAAGCTGGTTAAATACCAGTGTCCCTCGGGACCCTGCCCTGTGAGAAGCGTGTATTCTGCAGGAAAGCTGGTGCACTCCCCACCTTCACTGTATATTCCAGCGTATGCGACTCGATTGTTCTTTGAATGTCAGATGCATCACGCTTGCATGGTGCGTTCATCTCAGTTACCCCATAGAGCCGAGCTGTCACCGTGGCCCTTATTATTAGCACTTCCTGGGTGGGACAGATTTATGATACATAAAACATCACCACCCTGTGATTTTAAATAAAGCGGTTTTCTTTTTGCGGTCCCTTGCTACTGAACTGGAACATGTTAAATGAAATGTTAGCATTTAACCCCTGGGAGGAGTCCTGCCCCTCCCTTTCCATCTGTGTTCAATCAGAGGGAATCTTCCCGCAGCTCAGTGCTTAACCGTAGGCATTCTCAGCTCCAGGGCCATAAATGTCCAAACAGGTCACCCGGCAATATATTCTCAGGACTAAGAAAAGGGACAGTAGCCATGTTCGTGGCGGGAAAACAACACAAATTATAAAGCAAAGACAGACTTCTTCCAACCTGTGCCTTACCTGTAAAGGGAAACCAGCCAGGGGCGGCCGATGCAATGCCCTTTGCATCCCTTAACCTGGGCTCTGCTGGTATTCTGATTTTGTTTAGAATCCTTTGAGTCTCGAACACAGCATGGCAAGGCACGTCAAATCTCTTTAATAACACAAACCACAGGAAAGAAAGGCAGTTGAGTATGAGAAAAGTCCACTCAGCAGTATTTGATAAATGACGGTAGTCCTGCCAATCTGGCTGTATCCAGAGGAGAGTCTCGACAGAAAAGCAGCATGTTCAGAGCCGTGGAATGCAGGCAGGGCGGGGCGGTGATACCTGCATCAGTCGGGGAAGGGCAGATGGAGGAGTGGAGAGGAGGAGGCAGACTGAACAGCGCAGCAGAGATGTCCGGTCTTTCCTGCTGGAGACAGTGCGCAGGGCATGCTCGTCGGTCCTTCCTCTGGGGGACTCACGCCTGGTCTCTACTTCTGAAAACATACGTGCAGACGCTGAAATGGTTCCACATCCTCCACAGTTGATGAGGCCTTCATTAGGCGCTGGCGATCGATGCCTTTCCATCCTGTTCAGACAGTGCAGGCGGTCACCGTTGCACTAGAGAAAGAAGTTCTGAATCTTCAGCGTTGATCTCTTTACCAGTCTGCGTACCTGCTGCTTAGACATCCCTTTTCACAGAACAGAAACGTTTCAGTGGCCTTTCTCACACACGTGTCCTAAGTTGGCAGCCAACTAATATTGTTTAAGTTACTGGAAAAGAGTATACATGTTTGTGCGTTTGTTAGATTTCTGACTTTCCTCTCGAAAGAACAAAGATTACTACTAATGCTTTCAAATGTCACATAACAGAATGAAAATAAATTAATATGGTCATTAAATAGAGGGAGACGCAAGAGTCCAAGCCACAGAAACAGAACTCCCTACGTGTAAGGTGGACAGCGGCAGAGCTGAGCCGTCCAGAAGGCTTTGTGAGGAAACGCGACATTCTGCTCAGGAAGACCCAATGAAAGGAGGGAGAGAAGACGTCTTGTCCAGTACACACTCACCCAGGCACGAGGCCTTTACACTTCTACCTGGACTCCTGGGATGACAGGGACCCACTGCGCCGCCCAGCAGAACTGCCTAATTCAGAGCAACTTCCATTATCACAAGGTCTTTTCTTCGGCAGAGCCTAGCCAGTTTTCTGGGATTTTATCTTTTCTGCTGTGTAAAAGACAGCATGGTCATTCACAAGTGACATGGAAGTCCAATCCAAACTGGATCAAGTTGGATAGAGCAAGAAGGAGAAGTCCTCACTCACATTGCCATCTAGTTATCCTAACGTCTCAGTCGGGAGCCCTGACAAGACCGTGTCGAGTTGGTTGTTCCTCACCTCTGTTCTTTCACGCATCTCCTCCCTTGTCAGTGTTCCTTAGCTCCTGGTGCGTGCTTGCATCAGCTGCCCATGGAGTCTTAGTGAATCCGTGGTTGGCTACGGTCGACACACTTGACTCCAGGCAATAGCACGGCAGCTGCCAATAAAGCCCCCTAATCTCTTAAGATACGGCAATTTGGTGGGGAAAAGCAGAATATAAGCCATTAAGTCAGAAGCTTCTTGTATCAAAGAAATAACAATGGTCAGGAGGAGTGAGTGGGGACAGAGGAGGAGCCTCTTGCGAAGCTTGGTAGAGGGAGTCACTTATCTGACTGGTACTAGGAGGAGGAAGAACTTGGCAGTGGAGGACGAAATGACATTCTGGGCATACTTCCTTCTTAGTTAATTTAATTGTTTTAGAAATTTCATACATTTGCAGTATATTTGTGTATTTCTGTTGTTCCCAAGACTCCCTCTCCCTCCCCCAGTCCATCTTATAATCCCCCACTCCCTTTCAAAATCTTGAATATTACTTTAATTATCAGTACACACACTGTATATATATGTATACACACACATATACACATGTCCAGGTATGTGTAGAGCCCACCGAGGGCATTTAACATTGCTCCTTTGTACTGTGTCTAGGGCTGACACTTGGGATTGGACAACCTGTCAGGGGCTATGGTTTCCTGTCACTCTTCTCCTGGGGCGGGGTCTTGCGAGGCTTTCCCCTTTCACAGTAGGGGTGCCCCATTTTCAATGGTGTTGTAGCAGTGCAGATCTGGTTCAGGCAGCCACACGGTTGAGGTTTCACGAGTGGGTGCAGCTCCCCTGTCGTGTCTGGAAGTCACCATATCACAGCAGATATCACAGTCCTCTGGCTCTTGCTGTCCGTCTTCCTCTTCTCCCAGATGTTCCCTGAGCCTCTGTCACGGTTCTCAGCAAACTGCAATAATTATGTAGACACGGTTCGCCTTTCTTAGGGCAGTCACAGAAAACTTTGTGCCCAAGGCAAAACATTTTTTTTTTTACATTTTAAGCTCCCAGGCCAATGAATTAATATTTGAATCATCTCTCCAAGTCATCCTTAGGAACACTGTAGAATGTGAGCACTACTGACATCCATTGCCACTGGAGGGAAAAGGCAATTTGGTTTGACAAATATGCATTGATTGTCACATCCTCGTCCATTGGAGTCCTAGGAGCTGAAGATGCGCAGTACAGTTGATCTCCACAGCGCGGGCCCATAGTGCCAAGGTGACCAAGGGATACAGAGAGGTCATTGCATGAGTTTACAGACAGGGGCAGGTTTTTGTCCAGCCTGTAATATTTCCCGTTTTATTTTTTAGGATTTACTTACTTTACCAAGACTGTTGTTGTTACTAATATTTCCTATTAAAAATGCAATCGATGGTTTTATAACCACCTCTATGAAGGAAATTGTAAGGTGTTCTTTAGTAGTACTAGTTTGATACTAGCATGAATATAGTATTGATTTCTACACACTCAATATAAACAAACAAACAAAGACAAAACCAAACTTTTTGTTGCTCAGGGGCCAGGTGCCATGTGAAGTTCTGGTAGTGCTAGCGCCTCCTTGAAACAGGAAAATCACAAGTTCAAGGACAGCTCAGCTACAGGCTGAGATCCAGTCTAAACAACAAGCGCTGGGGATGTGGCTCACTGAATGGGTGCTTAACTAGTTAGTAATGCAAGGCAAGACCCCGAATTCAATGTCCAGCAATGGAATAACTGTAATTGCTGTAAACTCATGCTTAGTAGAGTTTCGGGATACTCTTGCATGGTGCTGGCCTGGAGAGATGACTCAGCAGTCAAGAGCATGCTCTGCTCTTGCAGAGGACCTGAACTGATTCCCATACAAAGTCAAAATCCACTTTCTGAGCATGTCTATTTCAAATAGAAAGATAGATCGATAGATCAATAGATCAAAAGATAGACAGATAGATAGATAGATGATAGATAGATAGATAGATAGATAGATAGATAGTAGATAGAAGATGCTGTTGATGTAGATAGGTGATAGATATAGACAGATACATCAACATATATAGTATGTATGTTGATGACATATTATATATGGCATTTGAATGATATATATGATTTTCATTTATATAAAACTTGATAACCTTAGTATGATTTTGATAACACCCATGATGTAAACAGACCTTTAGCTATCCCTACAAAGATGATCGACTGGCTAAAGATACACCTTAGCAGTTCAGAGTAGGCACTATTCTTACATAGGACCAGACACTGGTTCCCAGGGCCCACCTCTGTGGCTTTCAGTCACCTGTAACTCCAGGGCTAATGCTCTAAGACCGTCTTTTGGCTTCTGTGGCACATGCCTACACACACGCACATAAATACCCATGCACACATCAGAGTCACATGATTAAAAGTAATGGAAATGAAAACTTAAAAATAGTAGTTAGTGAAAACTTTGCTTCTCCCTTAAATTACTGCGCCAGAAATGATTTTATGAATAATAGTTCATTTTTTGTCATTATGATGAGCTTGAAGTCTCCTAAACTGACTCTACTTCTGTAGGAGAACATTTTTCTTTCAGAATCTTCTTTGTGAGTCCTGAGTTGTGGCCTCGCCTCCCTTCTCCTTTCCCTCAGTTATAAATGTGTCATGAAGCCATGCAGTATGCAATGCCACTCAGTTACACACATGCACATGCATACACACATATGCAGACACATGCACATACATGGACACACACACACTGGGTTATTGAAATAGCTTGGCAGTTAAGAGCACTTACTGCTCTAGTCGAGGACCCAGGTTTGACTCCCAGCACCTACACGGTGGCTCATAACCACCTGTAACTGCAGTTCCAGGGCTCCTGCCTCTTTAGGAACTGCATACATGCGGGCGCTCACAGAGACAAAAGTAAACGAATCTTCAACCACATACATACTTAGCAAAAAACCTTCTATAAAGGTTGTATAAAGTATCTACAATGACTTTTTGGTCAGAAATTAATATGACTTATTGAAAGACTTTCAGATGTCCTCAGTATTTATTTTGTCTCACTGATATTTTACATATGAAGACACAGCCATGTCTGCTCTATCATATTATATTCCACAATGTGAATTCTTTTCAGAAATACTTGCTTTCTATCCACTCTTGAACTTACAATGTGGAGGCAACATTAATTATACAAAGTTCATTTGAAGAGACAGAGTCTCACTGTGTGTCCCTGCCTAACCTGGAACACTCTCTGAGGACCTGGCTAGCTTTAAACTCTCAGAGACCCTCCCAACTGCATCCCCAAGTGATGTACAGGGCCTCATCAAAAAAATAGGAAATATCTTAATCTAGACAATCTAGAGCCTGAAAACTCCCAACAATGAAGTTCTGGACCACTATGTGCCATTTTTATTATTGCTAATACAAATGGAAGGACACAGTTATTCGTGTGTGTGTGTGTGTGTGTGTGTGTGTGTGTGTGTGTGTNTTAGCTTCTCTAAGAACCCGAATTATAGGCTCAATGTCCTTTATTTGTGGCTAGAAACCAAATATGAGTGAGTACATCCCATGTTCCTCTTTTTATGTAATAAACAATTGGATTTGAATCTAGGTTTTGAACAAATTAGTTATAAAGAATTCATTAGAAGTAATTCAAAACAATGAAATGTCAGTATTTTTGTTTTTTAAAGATCTTATTATTCATGATGATATTTCTTTAGCTATTAAAATTCCTTGCAGTTCATGCTGTCTTATAATGTTCTGTCTTTTAATGTCCAGAGTAGAAACCCAAGACAGAGGTGGCACATTTAAAGAATCAATTCCCATGTGAAGATTAAATAACTGTACCAAGGTACCTGGTACAAAATCCCCTTAGCTGAAGATCTTGATCACTGAGAAAGAGACCTCAAACCTTCTCCTTTCTGGGGACAAGAGAAGGGAAAAAGGCGCTGAAGCCTGAGATTCCTGAGATGCAAGAGGTCACTTGAAGACCCTGAAATGTTGCAAAGATAGGTTTTGCAGTTTTTGTATAACTGGTTTTCTGTAGTCCCCAGAGTGCCGTTTGCTCAATGTCTATTATAGACATGCATATGTAACAATTCTTAGCGCTAAATCCTCTTGAAACACCTCAGCAGAACAGAGAAAACAAGACTATCAGGAGTTGCTCATTGTTGATCTCAGCTACTAACAGTTAATGCTAATCCCTCTTCCCCTTTTCTGCCTGTAGTATTTGTGAGCACAGGAAAGTTGACATGCTGTTACATAACCTCAGGGAGGAATGTCTTCCAAATGATAGGGAGACTTGGATCACCCATGAGGAGAACTTTAAAGAGAATCGATTTCTGAAAAAATAAATGATGTCCGATGCCTTTATTTCAACTCTATAAATCAGAACAGTGATGTAACACAGTGCAGATTCCCTGGCCTTCTCCTCCCTGTGTCTTCTTCACTTACCCCCCCATGTGTGTGTGTGTGTGTGTGTGTTTGTGTGTGTGTGTTTGTGTGTGTGTTCCATCTTTCCCCAGGGTTCTCTGCCTTACACAATTTGATTCTCATGAAAGTCTCCCAAACTACAGCACATCAGTTAACTGTCATAACTGTCACTAAGCATTAAGCAGCCAGTCAGTGGCTCGCCAGACACTAGAGCCTGTTGCCCCTGAGGACCCACACAAGTGCGTATGTGAGCCCTGAATGCGGGGCCTTTCATGGAATTGACTGGAGTTTTGTGAAGTTGCTGGTATATAATTGTGTCCCCACCCCCCCGGTTGTTACCTAATGATAGCAGTCTGCTTATTCTAAATGTCCCCCAAGGTCTAGCAAAATTACCTAAACCAAAAGAGACTATTAATAACTTCTGAAAGGAATTGTTGAGACTTCTGAGCTCATTTCAGGTATTACATTTTGCTTTGTTTCAAGATCACGGTTCCTCAGCATTTAAATCCGTTTTCATTATAGTTGTTTCTCTGATCATTTTTAGCTCTGAGTTCAGGGGGTCTGCCTTCTCCTCATTTGATGATATTTAGACTGTGCACCTGCCTGTGTGGTAAGAATTCCTTCTCTAGAGTCAGGAGTGATGACACTTTGTGCATGTAGGCAGAGTTACAGCTGCTAATGTCCCCAGTGCGGAGGTGGAATAGAACTGATCACTGGCTCTGCCATGTCTTAGAGTTGGTTTTTTGTAAACCTGTGATGCTCTATGAACTCCAGTGAGTGTGTATGTGTGTGGGAATCCAGCCCCTCTTTGACAGTGTGGACAGGCCATGCCTCATTTCTTCCCATGAGCCTCCCTGTGCAGTGGTCAAGTAGCTATCACAGAGCATTCTAGTGACCACGTTAAGGAATGGCCGTGGGGCGCCAAGAACACATTACAGGTTTATAAAATGATGACCAAGTCTATCAATTCCTTTAAAGCACTTTTTAAATCTTTTGGGGATTTGCATGTAGAGGCTAATAGGAGAAGCCGACATGACTATTAACATCAATTGTTGCTGCTCTGTTTCCTTTAGCCTCTTGGTTGAGTATATTAATCACT